TCCTTTTCCCCCTTTCTCCCGTCTGCCCTCCTCCTCCCCTCCTCCCCTCCCCTCTCCCTTCCCTCCCCTTCCCTTCCATCTCCTGCATTCTTTGCATCTCTCCTCCCTCTCTCTCCACTTTCAAAAAACACCCAGAAACCAATCACTTCTTGCCACGCCCACTGCTACCACCTGGTCCACAACCTCTCCCCTCCTCCCTGTTCCTTCCTTGCCCTTTCAGCCCCTTGTTCTCCAAGGGCCCAGAGGGATACTGTTTACGCTAAGTCAACTCTCATCCCTCCTCTCTTCGGCCACCCAACCCCCACCCTAGGGCTCCCGCCTCATTTGAGGTAAAAGCCAAGGTCCTCAGAGTGGCCCCAAAGCCGGTGCAGTCCAAGCCCCAGCGCCTCCAAGACTTCACCTTCCACCACCCTCCCTGGCCTCTCTGCTCCAGCCACTCTGGCTCCTGGTTGTTCTTCCCAAGCACAGGGACGCTTCTGCTTCAGGACCTTTGCACTTGCTTCTTCCAGCCTGGAAGGCCCTTCCCCCAAAGACTCACATGACTCACTTCTTGGCTTGTTCGAATGCACTCCCCTGAGTGCAGCCCTCTGTGCAAAATGCCGCCCCCATCCCCACCCCCTACACACTCTCAGTCTCTTTCCCACTTTACTTCTCTCTTTGTATTTTTATTTCCTACCCCTAACCAATCCCTAACATGCCATCTATGTTATACATTCGTTTTTCTTACCATTGATCCCCCTCTAGCTCCACCGCTGTGCACAAACTACGCTGTCGGATCCCTGGGCCCTGGCATGGGCCCTTCCCACCTCCCATCTGGCTACTTCTTTGTCTTTCAGGTCTCTGCTTAGACCTCACCTCCTATTTCTGGAACAGTCCAGATAGCGAACCCTCAAGGGCAGGGGTCACATGCGTCATATGCATCATTGTGTCCACGGTGCTTCCTGGTGAGTCAGGGCCATACCGCCCACCAAAGCACCAGCTGCAAGTCAGAGAGGGTCACGGACACCTGGCCCTGCACCTGTCCCCAGCTGTGTGCTGAGTCCTCACACTGACCCTTCCCTCTGGCATTTTGTTCCCCAAGAATAGCCACAACAGCTCCCACCATGAGCATGGGCTCTTCCTATGCTCCGACTCTGACTGTCCTCTTTGAGAGGTGTAGTCCACGTGTTCTCTTCCCTCGAGGCTGGGTGGCCCATGACAAAGACAGAATAACGCTGTGTGACTTCCAGTGGAAGGACCTTCCATCTGGTCCTTCTGGGACACTTGCTCTTGGAATCCAGCTGCCATGCTGTTAGGAACCCCAAGTAATCTGTGGAGACCCACACAGAGAAGCTCTGAGGCCTCAGCCACGTGAGCTGAAGGGTGAACTGGAGTTGATCGGCAGAGGGGATGGGAAAAGGGTGTTCCAGCAGAAAAAGGGAACAGCATGAGGCAAGAGAGGCCATTATTGAGTGCCTCCTGCATGCTAGGCACTGGAGAGGAGTGCCCTACTGTTCTCTCATGTAATCTCGGCAGCCTTTCTAGGAGTATGAGGTAGGTGCCATTTTACAGAGGAGGAAACTGAGGCTCACAGAAGTCAAGCAATCATCCCAAGGCCACGCGGTTCGGAACCAGGATTAGCAGGCAGCGTCTTACAGGGGCTGTGGGACCCGCCAACCTGGGGGAGGCGGGTGAGCAGCCAGGACCGGCACTTGCGAGTCTGGGAGGAGGTTTTGGAAGGAGGATGAGGGCTCAGAGACCTTTCCTTGGAACGTCAAAGGGAATGGGCCTAAGCCAAAGTCTGGACAAGTCAAACTCCCGAGATTTTGTCTGAAGACGATACCACGGCTAATATGGGAATACAAGGTCGGAGCGCCAGGCCTGTGCTGAGCTGTGAGTGGGTGGCGGGTAGGGGACCCAGGCTGGATCGGGGGGGACGCAGCCGAGCTTCCAGCCCAGGCGAACGTCCGGGGTCAGGAGCGGCTCCTGGAAGACGTGCTGCCCTAAGACCCGCTGCATCCTTGCCGACTCTGTGGAGTTGCAGCGTTCAGAAGTTCTCAGCCTGCGTTTGGCTGGGGTCTGGTCTTGAATGATTAAATTTTCGCTGGGGGGCTGAGGGGAGCTGAAGGGGCAAGGGTTAGAGCTGCACAGATTGTATCTCTCCCGTTGGATGCGTCTCTGTCCCCTGGACCTGTCCTGCCAACCTGGCCGCCTGGTGGGTCTCCTGGGGAGTTTTATAAAATCTTTATGCCCTGGCCACACCCCAGAATCAGTGTTTTCAAAGTTTCTCAGTTAATTCCAGCGTGTGATCGGCACTGAGAACCCCGGGAAGAGTTCAGCCTTTGGAGTTAGATACACACGGGCTCAGCTCATGACTCTGCTTTCGTGCTGGGCGACTTTGGGCTTGTTTAGCGACCTCTCTGAGCCTCAGTCTTCTGTCAGGAACGATACTCTCATCACGGGGCTAAAGAGATTAAATCATATAATTTGGGCACATTGCCTGGTACTTAGAGCTAGAAAGAAAAAAAAGTAACTAAAATCACCACACTGATAGAAATATCAACCTTGCCTAGTGGAAAGGAACACTTTGATTTGGGACTTAAAAGGAGCACGTTAAAAAGACATTTCTGGAGCAGAGCTCAGAGGCTGAAACTCATTAAGCTGAAGTTCTCTCACAGCAAGACTTGCTTTGTATTTTCCTCCTCCATGAAAATTCTGAAACGATCGCCATTATTGTTGGCATGGGTGGTTAATTCAGTGTCTACATGGGGTCTCTTTCTGGAGAAACAGCAGATCCTGCAGTGTGTGACCCCCCGATGTTTTCACAGAGGCGGGCTGTGGCTTTGATAGCTCGTAAGAGCCCCCTCTGCCCCAGACCTGTCCCTGCAGCTCCTCTCCTGGGCCGCCTGACGGAGGCAGCGGAGGTGGGAGAGCAGGGCCCTTGCCCTGGTCAAGCACACGCTGCGTGTCAGGTGCTCTATAGACAGCCCTATGGGATGAAAAAGGTGTTCCATGCAGCTGGACATCAAAAGAAAGCCAAGGTAGAGAAATGCAAATCAAAACTACAATGAGGTTATCACCTCACACCAGCCAGAATGGCCATCTTTCAAAAGTCCACAAATGACAAATGCTGGAAAAGGGAACCCTCCCACACTGCTGGTGGGAACGCAGTTTGGTGCAGCCACTGTGGAAAACAGTATGGAGATTCCTCAAAAGACTAGGAATAGACTTACCATGTGACCCAGGAATCCCGCTCCTGGGCATATATCCAGAAGGAACCCTACTTCAAAATGACACCTGCACCCCAATGTTCATAGCAGCACTATTTACAATAGCCAAGACATGGAAACAGCCTACATGTCCATCAACAGATTACTGGATAAAGAAGATGTGGTATATTTATACAATGGAATACTACTCAGCCATGAAAAAGAACGAAACAATGCCATTTGCAGCAACATGGATGGACCTGGAGAATGTCATTCTAAGTGAAGTAAGCCAGAAAGAGAAAGAAAAATACCATATGAGATCGCTCATATGTGGAATCTAAAAAAAAATGAACATAAATACAAAACAGAAACAGACTCATAGACATAGAATACAAACTTGAGGTTGCCAAGGGTGGGAAGGGACAGACTGGGAGTTCAAAATTTGTCGATACTGACAGGCATACGCAGAATAGATAAACAAGATGATACTGTATAGCACAGGGAAATACATACAAGATCTTGTGATAACTCACAGCAAAAAAAAATGACAATGAATATATGTATGTTCATGTATAACTGAAAAATTGTGCTCTACACTGGAATTTGACACAACATTGTAAAATGACTATAACTCAATAAAAAAATATTAGAAAAAAAAAAGAAAAGAAAGCCAAGGTAGCGACACTTATATCAGACAAAACAGACTTTATAACAAAGACTATTAACAAGGGAGAAAAATACTACATAATGATCAAGGGATCAATACAAGAAGACGATGTAACGATTGTAAATATATGTGCAGCCAGCACACGAGCACCCAAATACTCACAGACGAAGAGGGAGGAAGT